AAGCAGGATATCAGCAGCAACATCCTATTCCTGTTTAGACCCCGCGAACATGCCACACAATGACTTGAAACCACAGCTGAGAGGAAAACACCATTGTATTGTTGATTCTCCGGTTTCCTTTGAAATGAGAAAGGAGCTCACACAGAGAAACACCAAACTCACTTTGACAACATGGCGGTGACTGATTGATGTTTATTTAGGAAAGACAGTAGAGATATTAATAGCCAGACTGACTCTTTGTTTTAAATCACTGTACAATTTCCAAGTAACTTTGATTCTGTCACTTAAAAAGTGACCCCAGTAGATCTTTTAATTCAAGACTACACTTAGGGACTTCTTGACTTTGAAAGTGTATTGATAAAAAAAAAGGGAAAGGGAAAATTAGCAGATGCTTTAGTCACACATGAATGTGGATATCAAGACACAAGACACTGCCTAATTTGTGTTCACACACACACACACACACACACACACACACACACACACACACACACACACACACACACACACACACACACACACACACACACACACACACACACACACACACACACAGCCAACTGGGAGGGCTGGTTCTACAGTTTCATTGTGAGTTTTTAGGTCACGTCAGTCCCCAAGGGTAAAAGAAAAAGAAACTGAAAAGAGTGAGACAGGGAGAGAAAAGCCTCCAAATCAGAAAGGGGAAGAGTTCACAATCACTGTAGCACCTCATATATTAAACACACACACACACACACACACACACACACACACACACACACACACACACACACACACACACACACACACACACACACACACACTTTAAAGGCCAGGTGCTAAAGACCCCAGTTTAAACACGCAATTTTATGACTTCTCCATGAGTTAATTAGGCCTAATTTGAACCTAATTTGAGCCTAAGTGGGTAGGTTTATAGGGTGACTCAACAGAGTGACTAAACATAGGAAGGCATGGCTCCTTAGGAGAAGCACACTTTACGCAAGAGAACTAATGTAGGAGGCCAGCACAAGTAGTCTCCTTCCATGTGAAACTTAAAAATCGAATGTGAATGAATGCATTGTGCTGAAGCTCCTGCGGGTCTAACTCTCCAGTGAATCACTAACCCATCTGACTGGTTTCTGAGAGCCACACACACCTGATTGGAGTGACAGACTCATGATCATGATATCTGAAAAGAATTAAGGCATAGCTACTAAGCTACAGCTTAGCTTCTTCAATTTTGGACTTCTGTTCCATTAAATGTTTGAACTGTCAAGACAGCTTGCTAACTGTTCGACAGCATGAGTTTGTGAGTCAAAGTTCACCAAAGTCGAGCTCAATGGGAAAAAATCCACACAGATTTACTTCACCCCTGCAAGCGAGTTGAATTCACCACAAAACCTGTTTTATATGTTGCTATGACCAAGCGTTTAGATATGAGAGAAGGGAGAGGCCACTGTAAACCTTTCTGTAATGTAGGTCCACTTTGTCATTGTGCTGTCTACAGCAGTCGACAGAGGTTAGGCCCAATTCAACATCTTGCTTGCCTCTGGCACACACGTGGAAAAACAAACACACACATACCGGTGTGAAGGATAAAGCAACTGTGGCTGCATAAATGTGCAAGTTGTCCCTGCACAGCTGGACTGAATTCCATTTACATGAGTCAGTCCATACAATGTCCTTACCCACACCACAAGGTACCGTACCTTACATTATCGGTTTCTTATACTTCTAACTTAAATAATAATTCATCTTTCATTGGTTCAAACTGCAAGTCATGCATTATACTGGTAACATCATAGACATGGACAACTTTCTGATGCTTTTAATGAAAAACACAGACCTCTGCACAACATGAGCTGCTACACTATCCCTTCAAAAGTGGTAAAAGTAGCAAAATATGTTGACGTCAGCCTGGGTCGTACAATATTCTCTTTCTCTGTCCATGTCTGGGAAACCTCGCTCCGTGTTTAGAGTCACTTTATCTGCTGAGTAAGAAACATTGTTCCTGTAAAGCCATTTGGCAGCTAAAAGGCCAGGGGAATGTGTGAGGGTCTGTTAAAGGTCAACAAGCATTATTGCAGAGAGGATCTTTATCGGTTCATCTGGACAATGTCAAAGCAGCACTTTGCTGTCTCGCTTGGCCACTTTGTCTGAATCTCACACAGCTATACTGAGCCTGTGTGGCACTAAAGGGGAGCCCAATGCAAGCTCTCTGTGACAGCATCATATTTCATCTGGGCTTTGACTGGAATTGGGTTCCAGACCACCAAAAGCGTATGCAGACGTTGAGAAGTCACTATTATGCGCTATGAAACACAGTGGTACTCAACATAGCCCCTGCTGTTCTTTCTTTTTTATTTCTTCAGAACAGAAGCCTTAGCTCCCCTCACAGATTACTCACACACACACTCTGTCCAAGTAAACATGCACGCACACACACAGCCTGTATCCCTAAAGGAAGGGGGTGGTTGGGGGGGGGTTTGTCAGCCGTGTCAATGCACAAGAAATTCAATTAAGCAGACAGCAGGATGTCTCCGAAACCCAACCTCTTTTGAGCACAATATGCCCTCCTACAGTCCCCCACCACTCCACCCCGAGGCTTCCCAGCCAACCCCATACCTCCATTCAGCCACTCCCCCAACACGACTGAGACCCTTTGAGGGGGCCCTTTGCTGGGCCCCCTTTTATACACTCCTCTTCTAGTGCCTCTTTTGCCTGTAAAGAGAATTTACATTTGCAAAAAAAAGAAGATGAAAAACTGTTTTTAAAAATGTTGACTGTAAAGATATGAAGCACAAGCTCAAACAAACAGTCAGTTTTGCCATTAGGACACCAAGCACATTCATCCTCTTCTTCTTCTTCTTCCCGTTTGTGTGTCTCTGGCAAGCGGACAGATGCTGTTCATTTAGCACTTGAGCGGCAATCCTTGAGCTTGTCTCCTAAATGCCCAGGGGAGCCACTGGCATTTGGACAGCATTAAATAAAGTCACTCTGCGGACCTCACACCGCGGCCAGATCTGACCTCACGACATGGTCACTCCACTCAGATTTCAAAGCAGCCAACTGAGTAAAATCTGTGCTGGTGAAGATTTTTCTTACTAGTCGGGCCTCTGTAGAAGCGAGTGTCTACTTGCGGACAATTACATTTTCTATCCAAGCAGGTTTTTGAGCTGTATTAATTGAGAGGAGGGGTGAAAAACACTTGTTTTGTCCGACTGCCTCTGGGTACACTCATCCAACTTGTGTTATAGTAGATTAGGATCAATGCAGTGTTGCTTTGTTGACATTTTTAAGCGATTGCTATCTTGGGTTATTTCACAACACCATGTCAATAATAGCTGTTTTCTTTCCGCACGGAGTTGTTTCCAATTATGTAGAAGCCAGAAAGATTTGTGATGCTCAGCTTTGTTTAGGACTAGATAGCATCATCAATCTCATTACCAATGCATTGGTTTTAACAATGAAATAATAAACCTTCTCTCAAGGGAAGCGGGTCTCTCCCATGCTAGTTGTTTCATTCCAAATGAAGAGAGCCTCAGGGGCACACAATATCACACACACACACACACACACACACACACACACACACACACACACACACACACACACACACACAAAGCAAAACAGCAGCTTAGAGAGGTGCTGGGCCGCTGCAGACACAATATTGATGTTACGTAATGACAGCCAAACACCGCCCAAAAATGTGTGTGTTGGCGTGCGAGTGCATGTCTTTCCGGATTAAGGGCTCCCTCGGCTCTCCCTCGTGCTTCCATCCTTTAGCATTTGTTACCTTCACGTTTTTCCACAGTCCATAATTCCAGGAATGTCTGATGGATAACGTGTGATCTATGTGATCTGATGTGAAGCCGCTTGCTTTGAGCTCCTATACGCTGCTGATGCCTTGTCCTTGTAATTCAGGGTAAAAATGAAAAAAAATAAAATATGTAAGGTTTCAACTGGATGGGGGGGATTGCTTTTCTCCCATGAAACAGAATTTATTCCCCTCGCCAAACAGATCATGGCGAGTTATCAGCCCATGTACTAGCTAAACGAGGCTTAGTGTCCTCCTGTTCCATCATTTTCATCCCAGCTCGGAGCTTTCAGCCGCGTATTTAGGTCTTAAAACAGGGACATTGATTTCTGGTCCCATGCCATGCATTTCCGACGGGCTCTAAGCAGACAAGAGTACTCTCCCGCAACCAAAAGACAACAATGATAATCAGCAAACAACCCTCAAAAAAATAAATAAAATTTGCTTGAGCCCTCTCTAAAAGCTATTTAGATAAGTCCTTCTCCTTGAGGACCACGAGTGCAGTGACCTAAATCAGTACAGATTCACATGATGGGGTAGCGTTGGACTGAAAAAGCCACTTAAGGATACTGTGTGTGCATATGTGTGTGTGTGTGTGTGTGTGTGTTATAATCACCCCAATCAAGACTTTACAGTGAGGTTAAGCCAAGACCCCCCCCCCCATGTTAATCCTTCACAGCAGTTTTGATCAGCATATGTTGTCAGTGCAATCACACGCACATGGGGACTACGCAACACATCCTGTCTGTATTAGTTACGAGCAATGAAACCAAAAAGAGGGATACAGATGTGAGAGGTCAGTGGCATGTGTGTATTTTGAGAGCTCCACCACAGAAATATAATAGGGCAACTATCATTTCACAAGGCCTCAAAAGGGCAACAACTTGTGTCTCTTGTCTGGAGGTCTTTTTAAGTCAGGGGTAACTTTTGGACATACATCCCAGCCCATGAGAGCAACTTTTGGATATGAAATGAAATCAATAAGATAATAAAAAAGGGCGAATTCACTAATGTTTAATGCAAGAGAACATGGTTTATTTGGGAACTAATCTCTCATCTGATTGGTTGGACTCTAGGAAGTGCGTCTTGTGGGGGCCTGTGTTAAATTTGCATACAGATTATGGCAGCCAGGTGTGTTTCCACAGGTGGAAGGGGGAGTGTGTGTGTGTGTGTGTGTGTGTGTGTGTGTGTTGTGTACACTCACCATTAAGTCCATTGGGGATGCTCCTGTGATGGTGCGGTGCTGACAGGTCATCCATGGACCTCCTCATGGTGGAGCCCGTTTTACTGTTCTCTGAGGTGGGCTTGTGTATGTGGTTGTGATTGTGGTGATCAGGGCTACCTGCGCTACCCGTGCTGGACGTGCTACTCCCGTCTCCCACATCCCTGACCGTGCCGGTGCCACCGTTCAGGTTGGTCAAACTGGACTGACTGTCTATGGAGCTCCTGGACCCGGCTCCGTTCCTCTCCTCGTCCAGCATGAGGATGATCTCCTTCAGCTCAGAGTTCTCCCTCAACACGGTGTCCTGGTTGGCCTCTAGCTCCTTCAGCTTCATCATGTAGGTGCCCACCTCCTTCCACATGGCGCTGGCGGTGTAGCGGCCGAAGCGCTGCCACTCCCGGGACAGCTTCTTGCCCTTCTGCCGGTCGTCGTCCAGGAAGCAGCAGAGCTCCCGGAGCTCATGGTTGTCGTCCTGCAGCTTCTGGTTGATCTCCTTCAGGCTCCGGATCTCGTGCAGGTGCACCTGCAGCCGCCGGTTGATGTCTTTCATCATGTTCCCATGCTCGATCATCAAGTTCATTTTCTCGCTGTCAACCCTCCTTAATCTCCGGACCAGCTCGTCTTTGCTGCACCGGAGGAGCTCCTCGTCCGTCAGCTGGCTCAGATCCTCCTTCGGTCCCTCGGACGGATTTTTAGCCATAACTGCCTTGGCTGTGAGTCTCAGTTTGTTTTTTAAATAAAAAAAAAAGGTGGCTTGAAATTAACTGTCAAAACTCATTTAACCACAATACGAACACATTGTCCCAAAATATGAGAAAGTACCGCGATGCCCTCCTCTTCAACAGGCCGATAATGAAACAGATAATATTAATGTGATGCTATGGCAACCCGTGTATGGACTGAATGCCCTCATTAATCTTTTAAAAGAAAATCCTTTATGAATCTCGCCAAAACAACTGCTGGTGCTCACATTCCGTCAATAACGACAACACATGATTTAAAATCGATTACCAGTGATTTTCAATCAAGTCCTGGTTCCCCGGCGCCGAGTCCCGTCAGCACAACGACCCGCGTCCCATCGCAATGTGCGCCGTCTGCGCTCAACATCGCTCCATTCAAACGATAGTGGCCAGGAAACCAAAGCAACCCGGAATTTTAAATGTTAGCTAAACAAAAAGCAAAAAAAGGTGAAAACTCGCGTAAATCCGACACCTAGAAAAGCCCACTTTTTTTGTTGTTGTACCGGCTCTCCTGGACGCGTTATACCGTCAACAACGCTCCTCCTCGGATAAGCCTCTTTACTGAGGTGGTGTGCTGGTGGAGGACGGAGGATTCAAGCCCTTCTGCCAGCCAGATCGGAATTAGCAGCCGACACCCCCCCTCCTCCTCCTCCTCCTCCTCCTCCCCGTCTCTCCCCCCTCCCCCTCCCCCTTCTTGTCCAAACACTCGGGTTTGAAATCATTCAAGAGGATTTCGGCCAAGACGGCCAATCAAGACGTGGGAGAGGAGTGGGCAGCAGGTAGATGAACAGTGCGCCGGAGCCTCAGCAGGCGCAGGCTCGGCCCCCTTAAAGGAACAGCGAGAGGCTCCCAGGACTGTCCAAAACATATGAACCACTCCAAATTAACAACACACCACTGGATTGTGGCTCGGAACGAGTATTTATGTATTATGTAGTGTTTATGTATTTTATGACTACATTAATAAGTCCCTGCCCAATAATGCACAGCTCTTTAGCTTTTAGAGAACAGTTATATTATGTATTTTATGTATTTGATTATATTTGATCGTCAGTGTTATGTTTAGGCTTCTTGAATTGCAATACTTTTTATTTTTAGGTATCCAGTAGCTCACAGTTAGCAAACAAATATAGATTAAAGACAATAAATAGAAGGTACATTGAGCATATACATTATGTTGAGATTCACCACTTAATAACTTTATCTTAAATATAAAAATATGATAAACTCCTGCTCAAGCTTAATTGTAGTTTAACAGGTGCTTTTGAGATTTCTTTGCAAGGTTTACAGCGCCCCCTTGTGGTATACTGTCAGTAATGGCCCAATACACAACACAGCACAGGTTGAGTACATGAATGAAGAAAATAATAGTGCAATGCACAGAAAACTGAACATGAAATAAAATCAGATAGTCAGGCATTAAATTAATTATCATTTATTAAACAAAGCCATCATAACAAGTTATTTCTGTATCAGTACAATCATACGTAAAACAGTTGATCATTTTCTTCTGTGGTTTATTTTCATTTGTGTAAAAATGTTAAATCCATTTTTATATTACCATTAAAGGCACAGAACAGGGAACCCTGATAGCCCACCTGGTAGAGCGGGTGCCCTATATGCAATAGCTGAGTCCCTATCACCGCAGTCGGGTTTGATTCCAACTGGCGGCCCTTGGCTGCATGTCATCCCCTCTCTCCGCCTCCCACCTTCCTGTCACTCTTCACCTGCTACTATCTAAATAAAGGCAATAAAAGCCCCAAAAATCATAAAGGCACAAAACAAGTTTAGAAGCAGTGGTTAGTTCCAACAAGATTTAAGTGCTAATGATATTGTAACCCACCTAGTTTGGTCATTTCCTCATTATTGTTAGGAAATAAAAGTCACCACCATAACCATATGTGAATACATTGTGTATATCATTAAAACAAGCATTGTTGATACAGATTTCTCTACAAAAGTTAAAAAGAATTACAGAAAAAGTAATAAAACTCTGCATCTAAGAGGCTTATATCTGAGGCTGGATTACTACGGTACTGTATGACCATTTACTTGTAATTCCTGTGTCTGACAGAGCACACCACTCCACTCTTCGGCCTGAGTGTGCCAGTGTCCAGGATGTCAAAGGTCTGTCCCGGCAAAAGGCTGAAGTCATACCTCTGGAGCAGCTTGGCCATCACCACTTTAGCCTCCATCTGTAATGACCCCACCACCTAGTGAGTGTGTTGTTATGTTTTGTGTGTGTTTGTGTTGAATCTTTATGACTGTCACCACCCACCTGAGCAAAGTTCTGTCCCAGGCATGCCCGTGGACCGAGGGCAAAGGGGTAGTAGCAGTAATAAGGCCTTGTAAAGCAGATAAGAGACAGCCTCATTTTATACACACCATTTTCCTTCTTTTATCTGAGACAATGATCAGTGCTCGAACATTAGTTAAGACTAAATATATAACATGTCAACATGTGAAAACTGTATGCTACTTACTTCGGAGCATCTGGGTGAAATCTGTCTGGATCAAATTTCAGCGGGTCCTTGAAGAATTTATCCAGTCTACCAGTCACATAGGAGCTAAACTGAATTTCAGAAAAATGTATTGAACATTTTGGCAGCATGTAATTGTTTATGCTTTGTCAGTATTCTGAAAACAACATCATGTCATTTATTTATGTATATAAAGCACAATAAAAAATGTTTGGGTTCTGACATACATTTTGTGTTTTAGAGGTGATAAACAAAAAGTGAACAACTGACCATACATGTGAATCCTCCGGGTACGTGGATACCATCAATGACCATGTCTTCCAGTACATCACGAGATGTGCCTGGAGCTGTCGGGTAAATCCTCAGGGTCTCTTTTAGCACCTGGGGGGAGGTTACGGTGTTAAAAAAATATAGAGGTGAAACACATTTAAGCAGAAATGCAGAGGAGAGGCATGTGAATGATGCTGGTTTAGCATAAAATCTGTAGCTGGGGACATTTCTCATACTGAAAACTTACTGTAAGGGCCAACTTTAGAGTCAGTCAATGAATGAATGAATGTGTGAGTAAGTTGCACAATGGATTGACAACATGTTTCCCACCTAAAAAGAGCTGAGCATTTCCTAACTATATGTGTACCTGTGAGAGGTAGATCAGTTGTCCCAGATCGTCGTAACTGATTTCCTGTTTCATCCCAATGACATCATCCACCTCCTTCGTCACTCTGAGAAATAAAAAACACAACTGAAGAAACCATCGCTCAGCAGCTAGATTATGAAACTGCTTCGCACTGTATTGTTAGTTCTCACTTCTCCAGTATATCAGGATGTCTTGCAAGTTCCATGATGCAGAAAGCCAGCTGATTAGCTGTTGTTTCCTGCCCTAAAATGTCACAGAGGGCAAAATGGATCATAACATTGCCTTCAAATGGAGCAAATATGGATCAGCAACACTCAACACACATTGAGGTGAATGTATTCTTTATCTCTAAACCAAAAAGCGGGGTTTAAAAGAAAAGTTTACCAAAAAATGCAATACATTTAGGATTTTCTTTATTTTGGAGCATTTCATACATCGAAGTAGAAACATCACGGACTCACCGGCAATGAAAAATGTCACAAAATTGTCCAACATTAACTCTTCATCTTCTTGAGTCGTCATGCTTTCCTCTGGAATAAGAAAGCAGAATTTAATAAGTAAACCAATATTCTACTCATTTTATCATATCATTTGTGAAAATAAAGATTAACATCAATGTTGGACTGAGAGTTGAATTAATTTCTACATGCATATGAATTGATCTATCTGGCCTAGTTACATACTCTATCTACTGTATCTGATTGTGAACCTTGTACGTTTGCTATCAAATCTGTTTAAGGTGGGGTAGTAGGTAATATAATTGTAACCCAATACACCATGTGCTCACACAGCGACAGCGCCATCGTGGATAAACTTCCTGAATCTCAGCATGAGGAAGAATCACCATGGCCATACTTAAGCAAATATATGACGCTGATTAGCTCCACCAACACCCCCTTAATGTTTACTTGTGAGCTATACTTTCACTCTCCCATGAATAGTGTTTTATTTTAATATTCTAGTTTGCTTTGCATGTGACTTTTTTGTATTCTATTTTGTGTTAATTTCGTATCACTTTTCTTTTTTACAAAGTAGTTTGAAGTACTTTTTCTAGGTAGCTTTAGTTAACAAAAATAGATTTCTCCCTATTGTAGTGTGAAGTAATTGGTAGTTTGCCAAGCTATGCTTTCAAAGTAGCTTCCCCAACACTGTGAGCCACACAAGACTATCTTGTTATTCCAGCCATTCCAGCCAGGACTTGCCCACTGACATTCAGCTTACATTCTATTTGCCTAGACAGGCTGTTGTTGTGATGTTAGCTGTAGTAGCAGGAGAGCTGTCTGGAGGTGGTGTGTTGTCTCGTCTTCTCTTTGCAAACCCACAACATAGCTAACATTAGTTACATTACTTACTGTGTCAGTGTTCGCTCTATATATTTGTCATGGTATTGGATTCCTCCAGAATCTCTCACCTTTAATATAGAAATGTTAATAGCGGTAATACACATGTTGAGATGATGATGCTTGTATTTTATATGTAATTTTTATATTAGTTGTTATAGTGTTCTGCACAGTTTAAAATAAACACTTTTATCTAGACACTAGAAACTATTGTTTGTAACTGCTATGACCCTTTTACAACACGGTGGGGTTCAATATTTCTTCTGATCTAATCAAATCGAACCTTTGCCAGCACTTTTGATGATCTGCGTGAGGATGTCCTTGGGGACGTCGTCGCCGTTTTGCATGGCTGTCTTTCTTTGATGAATCCACTGAGCTCCGGTTGTTCGCAGCAGGCGGCATGCTTCCTTCACTTCATTAATGAATGGTCGATTCTTTGGTTTGTACTGGAAAAAACAAAAAAAGACTTTAAGGATCTCACACACGCTGCAATATTTACACCATATATACATGCAGTGAAGTCTTACCTGAAAAAAAAAGTCTCTGATATAGTGAGTCATCCCTTTCAGACATATCTCAATGGCTTTAGGGAAAGGTGAACTATTCTTCAGCAGGTCTAAATCCACACCAAAAGCAACCTGAGAGTTATCAAGAAAACAAACTACTAAGATTACTAAGATTATTACAACTTGATGAACCGTTGTAATAAATTGGTGCTCTCATCACATTTCAAAAGAACTTATTGGATCAAGGCTACTGCAGAGGAAGCTATGAAACAGACTATAGCACAATACCTTAGCAATAACATCCAGGGTAACACAGTTGACTAACTGGAGCATGTTGGCCTCTGTTTTGTTATCAGCAATATCCGAAAGTTTATTCATCAGTTTCTCTGCCCTCTCGTTGAAGGTGCCCATAAGACCTCTCAAATACCTGGAAATAATGGTAGTTTTAAACAGCAGACTAGCATGGCCAGGATATACAGTATGTATTTGTATGCAAAGGTTTGGCCAACCCCTGACGAATAACACATTTTTGGGATTTTTTCACTGAAAAGATGTAAACACAGCCTCTCAAAAACACAATATTTGCAGCAAACATTCATGCATTGTTTCGTTTTATTTCATAAATTGAATAAAAATGTAAAAAACACATCTTTCAATGAAAAAAATGACCCAAATGTGTTATTTGTCAACAGGTGGCATACAAAGCTCCACAGAAATTCTGTAATTGGACAGTGTTGTTGAGCAGATAACTCCATTCTGCCTCTTTGGGACGATTAACTCACAAGCTACTGAATGCAGGGTCCATGATCCGGCGCTGTTTATACCACTTTTCATGGTCATATGCTGTTACCAGGCCATAACCTAGGAACCTTGAGAGGAGACATGGAACACAATACTTACAGCAGCTTCTTACAGTATTTGTACCACTGAGATCTATACAATATGAATACTATAGTTAATCTGACAGTCTGATAAACTACCGTTGACCAAACAGGTTGAAGAGTTTCTCATAGACCATTTTGTCTTTGGGGTACTTTGGGGACATCAGGATTTCCTGAAATAGAGCCATCAAAAGAATGCTTGGCATAGATTTTTTACCAAAACGACAACATCTGGCACTGTAGGGACCATTCCGCAAAAACAGGTCTATCTGTCTATCTGTGCACTTTTACACAGTGTATTGCACAATGCTTAGGTAACTGTGATGTCTAACAAACAATATGGTAGGGTGCAGTGTTTACCTTGGTTGCCTCTGGACAGGTCACAATCATCACAATGTAATGCAGAACATTGATTCTGCAGACAGGCCCATATTTCTCGACCCTGTAAATTACAATTTAATTACAAGTCTGAACTTCAATTAATTCATCTATTGCCATACATGCAAAATCTGTGCTCCAGAGTGAAGGTGCACTGGTCAAAATAACCACGGAAAATATGCATGTGATGTGAAAATGACAACATAAACACAAACTAACTGAAACTTCTAAAGAGGAAGAAGTACACACATATCAAAACTAGCTAAGTAGCTTATAGCAGCCTATAGAGGGGGTATACTGCTTTGCCATACTGGTGATACCTGGACTTTACAATGGTTGCGATGGCGAGTTGACATGTTTCCATTAAGTGACATTGACATACTTTTATCAATGAAATATCGCTCGTGCTTACCATTCCAGAAATGCGTCGTGTATAATTTCGTCTTTTTTCATCATCCTCAGAAACGTTGGCGAATGTCCGAAGATAAAACTGGAAACACAAAGTTTCAGGTAACGTTAACAATAAGTCAATAACGTTACCATTGGTTTCGCTAACGTTAGCTAGGTGACGAGAAAAACAAGTGAAGTTAGCGTTAGTATTAATAAACAAAGACCCATGTGACGAAGCGTCAGTTACCTGTCTCTCGGTGGCCCAGGTATATGGTCATATTTCATATGAATGTGTTTAATATACAGGCAGTAACCAAGAAACGCAATGAAACCCAGAAAGAGCAGAAACAGGAGCGCTTGAGCAATCCAGCTCAAAATCAGATAGGAAACCGCCATTTGCGCAAATGAAGTCCCGCAGACTGTAATGTTGTACCGCGATTTGCTAGTCCACGGTGAAGTGACTTCCTAATCAGTTAAACGCTACAGTACATGAACTGCGTCAACGTTTCTGTACCACGTTTGACACATGAGAAGCTTAATAAATGAAATGTACACCTGGGGGCGCTACAACAGGCTCCATAGCTCAGTGGTTAGAGCACTGGTCTTGTAAACCAGGGGTCGCGAGTTCGATCCTCGCTGGGGCCTGTCGGGTGAACATTTTTCACCTTCACATGAGAGTACTTATCCTGTTTGGCTTATACGGTAATCCTAAAACTGACTGTATAGGTTTGAGTCATCGGTCCATTAGCTAACGTTAGCTGTATCCTCCTATGCTATTTTGAACTGAAATGTCACAGCAGTTTGAAAACAAAAGAAAACTGGTTGTTTTATTGATGCAATAAGACATGACTACGGTTACAGCGAGCAAAATACATTTAAAGTATAAATAAATAAAGTATGGCACTGATTATGATAGCTATTGAAAATATTGTGGTCACATTATACAGTACTAACCATTACAATCAGGAAAACAGATGTAGATGCAGAAAATATAGGCTTAAATCAGACATGTAACACTTTGACCTTTTTTTAGGGTAAAACTTACATGTTATAGCAGAGTTCATTTTAAACTCCTGAGAAACTGTTCATTCTGTGAATCCAACCATGTACACTAAGCCAAAACTCAGACCTGTTATCCAGAAGAATTAGATATATTGTAAGCTACTTAACGGTTCTTGAGACAATGTCTTAAAAAATTGGTGATGGAAAATGCTCACCCTTATCTTGAACTAGCTTTATCTTAAAGTTTTGTCCTCAAGTTTAATTCGGATTTTTATAGTAGGGTAAACCATGTCAACTGTGTCCTTAAAAATAAATCAAAAACAGTTTGTAGCTTTACAGCTGTAACTTTATAGGTTCATGCACAGTCCCTAAAACTTATTATGCCTTCTTACTGAAGCAGAAGTAGACCTGCATGGCATGGGCCCACTGCGCCTTGTAAACTTTGGTTTATGGTAAATATGAGGCAGAGGTGAGTTTTCACAACTTTAAAACTTTTAAAGAGTTCATCCCTCACCAAGCTGACAAGGGAATTCCTCCATGACTGAAAATAGGATCAATATTGCCAAATCGGAGCATACAACTACGTAGGTAGATGCACTTCACACATCAGATCCCCGCTGCTTTCACTTCAACATGGTGAAGCGGGAAGCTCTCCCTCGGTTTATTCAATTACACTCATCTCCAGGAGCACTGGAATAACAGGGTAATTGTTTGAGTCAACACAGAATCTCACACAGGTTTAATAAGGAGACGCATACAGAAGTGGAAGGCTAAGTGATGCAGATGGACATTGTGAATCAAATGCGCACTTATGTTTGCTCGTGTAAATATATTGCCTCATCATAAAACACACTCTGCGTTGTCAAAAGGGGCTGAAAGGCTGTGACGAAGTAAGCACAAAGGGCACAAAATCGGATTTAGAAACAGCTATGTTGTGTCTTTTATGTATTGTTCTTCAAGAACTACCATAAATGGATTGCATCCGATGCATTGCCCCATTTCCCCTGATGCATTAACCTGCACAGCATCCTATTTGTAGGAGGAAATATGGTGAAAGGATGAAACCAATATTTTTGACTGATTATAGCTAGGAAATCTGAGTACAGTCTTCTTGGTGAGCAAACACTGCTGTCATTTTAACCAATAAACCCAAAAAAAGCTCAGCATACATTCACCTATTTAACATTCTGTAGGCTGACAGGAAGCTGGATGCAACAAACAGCACACTGATCTGAGCACCATCTCCGCCCGTGGGTGGTGATATACACACACTATAGGATTAATTTGAGATGGTAAACCACGATGTTAATAGCGTTTCATAGTCACAGTGTGTGGGGTGGAATTACCAACACTAAAAGCAGAGGCAATGCAAAACTACACTCATACATGCACTAAAATGCATGTAGTGCATTTTGTATTCGATTTCATCCTTATTTAACCTTACAGATCAATTTATGACAAAACATTCAGCTGATAAATCGATTAGTCAAAAATGTATCTGCTACTTTTTTCATAATAGATTATTTGTTTATGTTGGTTTTTAAGCAAAAACCCTTAAATTCACTGGCTCCAGGTTCTAAAATAGTCTTTCTCTGTTTTCCATGATAGTTAATGGTTTTGGACTGTGGGTCAGACAAAACCTCAGACGATTAAAATGTGATATTCCACCATTATTAATATTTTATGGAACAAATGATTCATTCATGATCAGTTAAATGTGAGTAGATTAATCGGCAGATGAAGCGATAATGAAAATAGTCAGTGGCAGCCCTATACCAGACGTGTATAAGGTCTATGAACTTAACTTTTTCAAATGTGGGGAAATAAATTCTGTCAAATTCGTCTAACATGGCATCATATTAATCAGAATAAGATTTACAAATACAGCTTTGAATTTTGACACAACTGCTGAGGTTTCAGGCAGAGTAGCAGAGGTGCTGAGTGAGTCCACATTAAGGCCTGTGTACTTAGTCATGGTGACCACCAGGGGGTGCTCTTTGTCAGTTTCCTCAAATTTCCAGCACTCTCCTATCTCTGTTTTTCCTCTGGGAACATGGATTGCAGACAGAAGACAGATTAGGATGTTTTCAAGGTGTCAAAACGTGCCTGTGTATTGCACATTTAAATGAAAATGTTGTCCATTTTTTACACCCATCATTCCAACAAGACAATATCTCACATTCTGATCTAAGGCATCCAAGAAATCTCCTCCAACCTAAAGTACCACTTTCTTCCTACTGGTTTGCAACCATCCATCCACTTCTGCCACTATGGCCACTTCATACCTGTACATATTGTTCGCAATAACCTTCAAGCTTGTCTGCATTCTTATCTTAAAAAGAACGAACAATCATATTTTTGGTCCAGGGTCTTGGCTCTGTGTAAACGCTGGAGGCTAGGGGCTGTTTGATGTTGTTATGGCTGGCTGGCTGCCGCCTCAGTACTACTGGATCTGCAGGCCCCTCTCATGTCCAAAGGTATTGTGTTGGCTGCTCTTTTGATTATATTATCAACAGAGAAAGAGAGAGGGAGAAAATTAAGACTCCCACTGGACATGAGTAAACAAACAAAAGTTTGTAGAGTCTGGTTCATCCGAAGAATGTCAGTTATTCAGACTTCTCTGAGGATATTGATGTCCAGTGTTGGGATTATCGTGCTGAATATTGTTCTTGCTTGATAAAACAATTTGCCTGTGCTCTGTCTGCAAGATTGAGTAGCATGAAAAATATTAAAGAGGAAAGGACATTTTAACCCTAGACATCATAAAACATAATATCATTGTTCTTTTACATGTAACAGTCCCTGCCAGTGAATGTAAGACAGTAATGTACACACAGTTTTTATACATTTTTAAGCGGGTCAGCTGGTCCACCATTTTGGACCTACTGGGTGGGTTGCCGTGGGATATTGTACAGTTTTTTGTTTCGTTCTTATCCCGGCTGGCTTGGTTCACTGATAGATGGTTATAGACAGATAGTTCATCCAATCTCCTGCTAAGTTTTTTTTTTTTTTACAAAGTTCCTGCCCTTTGCCAAACAGTTTCCTACGAGGACTTCCCAGATGGTTCTGTGCAACAAACCATCCGGTACCAACTGCACTTTGTGTTTACGACTAATTAGCAAATGTTAACGCGCTAAACTACGATGGGGAACATGGTCAACATGATGCCTGCTAAACATCCGCATATTAACCAACATATTACTGTGAGCATGTTAGCTGATGTTAGCACTTAGCTCAGAGCACCACTGTGACTGAGGTACAGCCTCTCAGAGCCAGCTGGCATTACTGCTGACTTTCTTCTTGTCATTTCTTTACAAATGAACAACCTGCATCACCTGCATCTGAAGGAAAGCGGGGCAAAGAACACACGGTTTGTTTGTGGAGTGTTATTCGTGCTCTATGACCCTCGCATTTCTGCCTCTTAATGAGTGGAGGCTCCATTTTGAGATTAGTCTTGTTGATCATCTCGGAAACAAGGCTTTCCTCTGTGTCAAGCTGGTCAAGGAATGGGATAAGTCAAACTCCAGATAATCCATAAGATCCTAAAGTCCACTGACATTCTTGTGAGTCATGTAGGTAGAGCAGCTAAAGTATGTGTATGGCTCTGTAAGTGTGTTTGGGCATAGCATATGTTTGCCAGCATTAACGCAGTATGTTTGGTTGGCTGGTTTTCACCATTTCAATGAACCCTTGTCAGTGTCTGTGTGAGTGTGTGTGTGTGTGTGTGTGTGTTTGTTTGCGTGGGGTTACCCTCAGCACAAGTCATCTGCAGGCGGTGGCGGGGTGGGGGGGTGGAAGGGGTGGAGGGGGTGGCGGCTGGGGACAAGGCAGCCTGTAACGGGAGCAGCGAGAGACTTGAAGGGCCATGCTGTTTGCAGGTCGACCAGCCGCAGTACACCCAGAGGAAATCTCATGTTCCTGCCAGCCTACAAAAGTAAACAGATCTGCAACCACCGAGCGCTGGCACCGGGCCTGGGCCACCAGCGCTATAACTAGAGGAATGAATCACATCACACACACATTCACTGGCTGAAATGCAGACGCACAGTGAGGTGTGCATTTGGAATTTTGGATGGCTTTTTCACATTTTGTACGTGAAATAATTCATGTTAAATTGAAACGACGATTTCGGTCAGCTTGAACTTCTGTATAACCGCAGTGTATTCCCCTCAGTGACATGACACACATGCCCTCCATAAGCTGTGAAGTGTTTTTTTTAAACGCATCCACCCTCCAACTGTTGCTCCATTCAATATTTTAGATAACATCTTTTAGCCACAGAGTTTTGAAACCTCCCCTCTCTTTTATGTTCCTTTTTCCTCTCTCCTCTGTTTTCCCTCTCTCTGCTTTCTCCCTTGTCTACACATCTGCGGTTATTTATCTGTTATTCTGCGGCAGCAATGTGGTCAACATGTGTCTGGCTTCCCTCCACGCACCACTCATCTGTAGTCAACTTAAGAATCACTGAAGGACCATGGTAGACCT